CTTAACAAATGATGCCAGAGGTTGGGTGCAGTGGCTCACGCCTGTAATACTAGCACTTTGGGAAGCAGAGGTGGGCAGATCACTTCAGGCCAAGAGTTTGAGACCAGCCCGATCAGCATGGCAAAACTCTGTCTGCCCAAAAAATAAAAAAAATACCTGAGCCTGGTGGCGCACACCTGTAATCCCAGCTACTCAGGAGGCTGAGGCATGAGAATTGCTTGAATTCTCCCCGGGGGGTGGAGGTTGCAGTGAGCAGAGATTGCACCACCGCACTCTAGCCAGGGCGACAGAGCAAAACTCTGTCAAAAAAAAAAAAAAAAAAAGAATGATGCCAGGGCCAGCTGCAGTGACTCACACCTGTAATACCAATACTTTGGAAGGCCAAGGAGGACTGCTTGAGGTCAAGAGTTTGAGTAGCAAAGACCTGGAACCAACCCAAATGCCCATCAATGATAGGCTGGACAAGGAAAATGTGGCACATATACATCAGGGAATACTATGCAGCCACAAAAAAAAAAAACAATGAGTTTGTGTCCTTTGTAGGGACATGGATGAATCTGGAAACCATCATTCTCAGCAAACTGACACAAGAACAGAAAAATCAAACGCTGCATGTTCTCACTCACAGGTGCGTGTCGAACAATGAGAACACATGGACACAGAGAGGGGAGCATCACACACTGGGGTCTGTTGGGGGGGAACAGGGGAGGGACAGCAGGGGGTAGGGGGGTTGGGGAGGGATAAAATGGGGAGGAATTCTAGATATAGGTGACGGGGGGATGGAGGCAGCAAACCACATTGCCATGAAGGTACCTATGCAACAATCCTGCGTGATCTGCACAATACCCCAGAACCTAAAGTGTAAAAAATATATATATATGTATGTGTGTGTGTGTGTGTATATATATATATACACACACACACACACACATATATATATAAAAGTGTTCGAGAGCAGCCTGAGTAACACAGTGAGACCCTCATCTCTATAAAAAGTTTTTTACATTAGCTGGGCATAAATACAAAAAATTAGCTGGGTGTGGTGGCAGGCACCTGTAGAGAGGCACAGGTTGCAGTGAGTGAAGACGGCGCCACTAAACTCCAGCCTGGGCAACAAGAGCAAAACTCAAGTCTCAAAAAATAAAAAATTAGCTGGGCATGGGTAATATGACTATTCCCTATAGACTTGGCTACACCGGAGGCTGAAGAAAGTGGATCCTTTCACTCTAGGAGTTAGAGGCTGTGGAGAGTTATGATCATGCCACTGCATTCCAGTTTGAGCAACAAAGTGATAACCCAACCTTTTTTTTTTTAAGGGTGCTGGAAGGATGCATCAATAAAATATGATACATCACATAAACAAAATGAAGGACAAAAATTATCTGATCATCTAATGAGATACAGAAAATCATTTGGTAAAATTAAGCATCCCTTCAGGATTAAAGTCAACAAACTAGTCATAAGAAAACATACCTCAACATAATAAAGGCCATATACGACAGACCCACAGCCAACATATTTAATGGAGAAAAGTTGAAAGCACTTCCTCTATGAACTGGAACAAGACAAGGATGCCCATCTTCACCACTTCTATTCATCATAATAGTGGAGGTCCTTGCCAGAGCAGTCAGGCAAGAAAAAAAAAAGGCATCAAAATTGTAAAAGAGGAAGTCAAGTTGTCCCTGTTCATTGATACAATCTTGTATCTAGAAAACTCTAAAGACTCCAGAAAGGCCGGGCGTGGTGGCTCATGCCTGTAATCCCAGCACT